ATGGTAGTATTGAAATTCAAAAAGATGTAAAAGAATGTAAAAAAAGGAAGGTAGGAATTGCTACACTGTAGCATGATAATGGAAGATTAACTAATAATATGAGTATACCTGATTTATGATGATAAATTCCACAGTGAAAATTTGTTGAAGAACTGCACCTGCCAATACTTCTCTTTGGACAGTCAGCTTGAGTTTCACTCTTTTTGAATGTGGTTCTGTCCATACAAAGGAGGCGTTGATAAGGCGTACCTAAATAATATAATGTATTTTATGAATGATTTCCACATATTTATATCTGAAATTAACGTAATATACTCAAATTAAATAGCATAAGCGCTGCCTTCGTCATCGTAGGTCTTAGCTTCTTCAATAATATAGCTAGCATTTCCTTGGACTCTCGTTGTGCATGTACCCAACCATTCGGTGGGATCAACCATCGACTGCAGAACTTGCACATAAAAGCTCGACCTGAAGGAAGCATATACAAAAAAAGAATAACAAACAAATATAAAAGGTGTTCCTTCTAGATGACGCTCCAGTTGGTTCGATAGCAATTATTTGCTTTACTTGTTTAATAATAGATCCTTCCGATAATACTACAAACTTTACTCTGTTTCGTTATCCCTTCTGTAATATCAATACGCGATCGCACACAGGCGACGCACATATTCATTGCATTTGGTTCAATCGAAGCACCACACTCACAGCATAAAATTTTTCCACTTCTTTCTTCATCTATACATATCGTTTCCATTTTTCAATGCTAAAAAGCTATTCAAATTTGTAAAATGATTATTTGAAATCCATCGGTATCATTTATATACCATAACATTCAATAGCTCGACACTTCCAGCGATCTAACAAATAATCATTTTCTTAATAACCAGCAACAATTCTCTAGCGGTCTACTTTTCGCATAACCCTTTCTTGCCGATATTAAATTTCTTCCAAGATTTCATCCAAAATAAATAATCGTTATATTTTTCCTTTCCCATTGTTTCATCCTACATATAACTTCCCCCAAAGTCACATTAATATTTTAATCCAACCACTAAAATTTGTTCAATCATCATTTTTCATAACGCCTCCACACAATAGCACATGGTAGTAACGCAGCGATCTGGAAGAAATTTTAGCAGACCCGATCTAAATCTCAAGTTCATCACAAGTCTGCTAAAATTGAGGAGTCTCGATGGATGACGATGATTCAATGTGCGCTATGCGATGTTGGTCGAAATGAAAATCATGAGTGGTATTTAATTTTTTGGATGTAATAAAGTTGTTGTGAAATTGATGCTGAAGATTGTCGCTTTTTTCAGTGCGTCGGATGTGGCTCGTGAGGGCTACATGTGAATACGTGACACTGTTATGAATACATTGAAAATAGGAATAATAATGGAGAAAGATAGGTGAATAAGGCTGACGATATCATTGAATAAGCCACTATAACACGAATTATTATAGTCATGTAGTATTTCCTGACATGGTGTACAGCTTTATTCATATACTGTTGACGCAAATATTTACGGTGGAACGATATCATTTTAGAAACCCTTTCGCTGATCACTGAGAATTTCACTTATGTTCTTTATTGACTGACTCTAAGGTTCACTTCTTGTCCATTAACTTCCATTTTCCGTTATACATTCTTAAGGGATTGTTTCATATGTCCACATGAACCAACATACAACATAAATCTCCATTTTTGATAGGTGACCTATCCAATATGACATATTCGCAGTGACACTAATCTCTTTTTTTATTTCATGAATTTCCTCTTCCTCGTTTAACATTGATGATATCACTAACGGGGAGGTGTGAGATGCTTGTATTTTACAATTATTTTTAGAAATCTGATAGTGATATAACCGCCTGTAATTTATCTCTTTCCGTCGGGAACTACGCAGTTCTTCCAGTTCTTTCTCCTAGAAATGCTGAAGGAAAGAAACTATCTCTTATTAAAACACAATTCAAAATGTTGCACACTTTGCTCTCAGTGGCTTACTCATAATTGACGACGACACTATACCCGAAAAACCTGATTCAATTAAATCAATTATTAAAGCAACAGCGAATACTGAAATCAAAAAAGTCAATCACTAAAGCAATGGCGAATAATGAAATTAATGCTTAATTTTGCTTTCTAAATAAAGTTTGTAAAAATTAATTCCGAGAATCTCTACTTCAGAATTAATTTATACAACTTTATTTAGAGAACAAAATTAAGCATTAAAAGAGATCATACGTCGGATTCACAAACACCGCAATGGCATAAAGACATAGGAATGATGATATCAGTAAAAAGCGGCTTTTTTTTTTCATTCACCACGGCAATATAAATAAAATGGATGAGGATAACGCACAACGATTCCTTGAAGTTGGAATCTTATGCTTCGAGAGAAAATATTAAGTTCACTGTCAGACAGAAGGATATTATAATGCTGAAATGATTAGTAGACAAAATCAAAGTCAGAGAATATGTAGATTAGAGATTATGTAGAAATATGGAGTGTATCACACCTATCATTGGCAGAGTTTTCAGATCTGGAAATAGAAGCACCAACAGATTCAGAGCTGCAGCCTCGTATGCGTACCAGTCTGTAAAGTGCTAATTTTGTTCTGCGTTTCAATATTGGCCAAGTGACATCCATTACCAAGAATGAGATCACTGCATTTACCATAACGATAGCTCCTTGCACGCACATTACCGCCATCTGATATTTCGTACGATTTCCGAAGCTCTACAACGACTGTAGTAAAAAAGTGCTTCTATCCTCGGAGAGATATCTTTCCATTCTGCTTAAGAGCATTTTTTACTGACCGTATCATTGAACAAAAAGTAATATTTATAAAACAAAGGATAATTACCAGAGCAGACATAGCGTAGTGTGAGGTGACAGCAAAACAAATACCCATCCACCAGGTACTTCTCGTACCCTTTTTATGACATCCATCCCAGAATAGTACGGTCCAAAAAACATGACACAATGTAACCATGCATGCTGATATAGAGTACGTTATCTGCAAATCTACAGCTCACCATAGCATCATTTTTCTTTTTCCCCACTTTTGATCCATAATGCTTCGGGATCATCTAGTTTTCTGTGAATTTAAGAAAACTTACAGGAAAATGCTGATCGTTGGGAAAGAGTTTGGTTGTGAAGCGGTCCGATACATACGGTACAGTAGCTGGTAAACCTACAGTACCGTGGCCCCAAAAGTCAGCAATAACATTGATAATAAGAAATAATGCTGCCATCACGCCCATTCCTAAGCCACACACAGTGGCCAGGATATGGCGAGTGTGTCGCAGAGTATGCACACCAGCTATTTTTTGGCCAGCAAGTGACATATGGTTCAAGCCCCTGAAAAAGTACATTATGTGAAAAGCGATCTTCAGCAAACATTTAGTGGAATTGTCCACAGAAATATATGTGCACTAAATGATTTAACTTACTTGCTATATAAATATGAAGATGGATAGGGAGGGAATTACTTATGGTAAACAAAAAAGAAATACTAAGATTTTGCTCTGTAAAATTATGCAACATTAGTTGGGTCAATCGCCAAATAATTTGACAGCATTTCAGTTAGTGAATGTCGACTTTATATGAATTATCAGAATTATCACTTTTGTGCCTTTTTTAAGAGGATAAAATGAAGAAGTCTAGCTCCTTCCTGTAATGCGACCGAGACAGCTACTGCAAAAACTAGGTGTTCCCTGAAGGGTACCATTGCGAACCATACACATGCTGATAGCAGTAACGATAAGAGCCAAAAAAATGCACTGAAATCGAATGGAATAAAAGAAATATTGGAAAGCGAAATGAGTAATATTTGTAAACCGCAATCAAAGAAAGCTATTGATCACCACGTAATGTTGTAAGATAGTAGATATCAGCACTTTAAGATGAATTGGCCTCCCTTACTCTCCTACAAGGT